AAAATTATTTTGCACACAAAATTTGTTTAACTAACCATGAGATGCAACACCCCCACACTTGAGATACATTGTCCTCAATGTACATTTTTGGATACAACGGAGGACGAAAACTTCAATAGTAGAATGGACCGTCTTGTGAGAGTAGGAGTTGCATGATACCTGAGTTTGATGATTTTTTTTTTTGTTTTTTTTTGTTTTTTTTTTTTTGTATTTTTAGTGCAACTGTTATATGTATGCACATGTGCATAACATTTACTCTGTATGTGCATTTTAATTAACGTACATAGCATGTACCCTGAATGTTTTAGTTTAAAGTGCATAATAATTTACTATTGAGTGCATTACTTGTATTCTGTATATGCAGTTGAGGGCAAGAAGGTTTTTGAAAATTCCGAAATAAGGAGGCTAGCCACGAGTTGGAGATAACTGAAAGACCCTTATGCTTACAGAGTTTGAACGACGAGACACGTCACAAGATGCAGGGTGAAGGTGTTAAGAGTTGAGAAGGATGAGTATTGTACATCAATAATCAGTAAAAGTGAATGAATTGAAAGATTTAAATTTCAAGAAAGCTAGTGAGTTTGCACTTGCAATCAAAATCCAAGAGCATTTAAAAACAATACCGGGGCATGAGTTGTAAGGGGTGGGGTAGAAAATACATATTAATGTATGTGATTGCTAGAATACACACTCTTAATGTTTGCGGTTGTTGGTGTTATGAGAGTTGTGAATGAGTGGAAGTAATATTAGAGTATAGCATTTTAATTACTGATTTCTCTACTGATTGTATTGTTACGTCTACCTGAATTAGATTAATGAATGTATTTTTTTTTATGAAATCGTTTCATGGAAAATCCTCTTACGGAAATGTTCCTGTGTTACTTTGAATGTTTTAATATTATATGGTTGCATCAAATGCATGTCTTTTTCAAAAGGGATGACATTATGTATAGTGCACTTTTGCCCTCTCGAAGGTGCTTACAATATGTAGTGCATTGGAATAGAGTACGTAGTGCAATATGTTATATTTCAAAGAGCACAACATGTTTTTTTGAACCTTGAAAAATATGTTTAGATAATGCATTAAAGTAGACGCACAACCGGTAATGCACATCTAAAAAGGTACAAAAAGTGAAACTTATATATAAGACATCCTTTCAAGGTGTAATGTGATTAATACATAATTCTAGGTACCCTGAACAAGTCCATATGTATAATTGGTAATGAACATATTTAAAAGTAGTGAAATTAAACTCGATCATGTGATACATCCTTTCAAGTATAGTACAATATAGTAACCATGCACATTTTGATACACAATATTGCACTATCATATGACTATATGAGTACTAGTGAACATTTTAATAAAAATACAATTCGTTCATGATATAAATGAAAATTGAAGGATCATTACAAATCCCACATAAGAAAAACAGCAATGAGGATACATACATTACTGACATACACATTTCAATTAAGAATAACAATGTCATCATCTGAATTTAATTGAAATATGCAAAAGGGTTAATCATGTGATATACATACATCCAAACATAATTTGTCACTGAAAGTGCATTATGTAAACAATTTCAGGACACTGTCATGCACAAGTAGAATGCAATATAGTAGCAGTGCACATTCAAATACTTAATAGTGCACATTTAAAAGAGTATTAATATACATTTTAGTAAAAATTCAATTCATTCATGATAAATATGACATTTAAAGTATCACCACAAATTCCACATAAGAGAAACGATGTCATCTAAATCCGAGTGAAACATAAAAAGGGTTAATCGTATTTGCACACAACCAAATATAATATACCACTAGAAGTGTATTATCTAAACAATTTATGGACATCGTCGTCAACAAGTGAGTGCAATCAACTTCTCTGAGTCATACAGAACTTTTCTAAGTCATACACAATTTGTATGTAAATCTTCACTCGAAGGTTCTGCATCATATTCACCTCCTTTAATTTCAGATGATTCGTTGTCATAAGTGAACCGATTACCTAAATCATCCTTATCGCAAATTGGAGTGCACCTAGACAATTGTTAAAATATTATTAGATGTTTACATACATTTACAGACGTATCGAAGTAAAAGTGCATTACATACCACATTTGTGAGTATAGTAATACCAATGGGGTGCACTAAACAAAATCAATATGAAATTTACTAATAGTAAACTACAATTGCATTAGGTACACCATTAGTATGCATCATCATCATCCAAATTGGAGTGCACCAGCGCAATTTCTTAACTAAGTTCTCAGTGATAAAATTACCAGAATTTTGCATACACTCAACCATAGTAATAGAAGAAACAAACACATCAGCCATTAAGTTCTTAGAATTATATAGACCCATTAAATCACAAACAATAAAAAAACGAAGATGACATAAAGTTTGTAGACGAAACGAATAGAAAACAAAGAACAAAGGATTGATGCTAATTGATATCCATGGTAGGATTGTGTATCAGAACCACAGAATTGCTGGACTAAGTTCTCAGGAATAAAAATACCAGAATTTTACCTACACTCGTCCCATAGAAACAGAAAAAACGAACACATCAGCCATTAAATCTTTGCAATTATACAGACCCATTAAATCATAAACAATAACAAAAACGAAGAGGACATAAAGTATGTCCTGAATTTTCATGAAAACAAAACAACAAATGAAACCAAAAAAATAGTAGAACAAACGAAAGAAGAGTAAAAAACAGACCCTTTATCCATTAATGGAGCTTCAGAGTTCTTGGGGAAGAAGAGGTAGTCAGAAAGTCGAGTCCCTCGTACATGAACTGATTTCACGTAGATGAAATGTCACTCGTAACTGAAAAGGAAAGGAATTAAAGGTTTATTAAATTGAAAAAAAATAATGGAAAGATATGTACAAGGAAAGGAAGCTACGTACAAAAGGGAAGAAAAATTGAAAAGACCATCTTGGCCTGCGCACACACACGTGAGAATCTGAGAAAATGAGTTGATCTAATGGTCAAGATTGTTTCTTATTTATCTCATTAGATGGTGTTCTTATTCGAACCAAACTATATATATATATATATATATATATATATATATATATATATATATATATATATATATATATATATATATATAATGCTTCACAACAGCCACATTTGTTAAACAAATTTACAACAGACTCCAAGTACTAGGGCAGAGCAGGGGTCGGGTTCGGGCGGGTCAGGTTCAAAAATCGTAAACCTGTTTGGGTATCGGATTGATAATTTAAAACCCTACCCGATCAAAAAATTTATCAGGTTTTTCGGGTTGAAGAAGTTCGGGTTTCGGTCGGGTTGGTTCGGTTTTCGGGTCCATTCGGATTTTAATTTATTATTGTTGAAATTGTGATAAATAAAATGGTAATTGGTAAAAATATCATTCAAAGTTATACTAGTATAACATTCAAAGTAATAGTTGTATAAATACGGTAATCGACATATTAGAACATGTAAAATAATAATATACGGTGATTGGCATTTTTGATATTGTGATAAATAAAATGATAACTGGTCAAAATATCATTCAAAATCATAACAATACAACATTCAAAGTTATAGTTTTACAAATACGTTAATTGGAATATTTGATATGCATAATATGGTAATTGACATACAATAATTGAGATATTTGAACATGCGTAATAATTCAAAGTAGTATATATACTACCCTAGTTCAGGTTTTCGGGCGGGTCGGGTAATAACCCTACCCGCTACCCGCTTAACGCTCGGGTTGCAAAAATCGGATCGGGTTAAGGTCATTCGGGTCGGGTTATCCGACCCAAAAAATAAAATCGGATATATCCAATCAAGTCAATCGGGTAGGGTCGGGTTTGCTCTCCCCTAACTCCAACTATATGTGCCAAATGGTAAATAAGCAAAGTACATGAGTTAATTCGAACATACAAGGGATGGGAGCGACGTTTAGTATCAGTTTAGGAACATGATTAGAGTAAAATACACTTGTAAGTTTTTAGGAGCAGTCTTATCAGAAATCCTTATCACAGAACATTAATTTGGGTAGAGTTTTTCTTTTTCTTCTTCAGGATTAGTTTAGTATTGATAAATCAGTTTAATACAATTGCAAAAGGAAATGGGATGCATTACCTCATTCACTTAAGGAAATGCATATTAAGAATAAAACTAACTATTTTGTACATTAGTTACCTCATTTTAATATAGTCTCAGTTGAGACAAAAAAAATTTATTCTAGTTGAGATCAGTTTATACATAACTTTTACCATTGGAGTAGCTCCAATTGAGCTTCGGAAGCTGAATTCCACATGCACTATTTGGATTTTCAAATGCCTCGCTATCATAAACATTATAATTTGATAAACACAAAATTTAAACAAAGTCTAGCCTTTTTCGTTTCCATTGCTTTAGATTTAACTAATAAATCTTAATCACATATCACATAATTTGTTTTGAATTTTGAGTATGATATATCTATTTGACCAAGAAAAGCACATAGATCATACTCAAACTGTTACGTACGAGCAGTGTAATTGACCGTAAAAGAGCAAAAATCGAAACATCAAGTCATAGATTAACAGATATATGTAAGTTTAAATCAAAGATCTTTTTGTGTAAATTACCCAATTTATACTCCATAGTCCATATACATCAATAATTTTGATTTGAAACTATCTCGTTTCATTTCGGCCGTTTGAGAGTGATTACAAGAGGATTATGTGGGATTTACAAATCAACTAATTTCATACAAACCATCTAAATAAGGCTAGATATCACATCAAAATATGGTAGACTATTAGTACAAAACTAAATATAATAAAAAATAATAAATATTGACATATTTAAAAAAAAATTAATAACAATTTCAACCGATTTGAACTGAACTTAAGTAACTCATACTCATATAAAGTTTTGCTTTATTTATCATCCCCCCAACTCCCAACCGCTTCCATTTTTTTGTCTAAAAATTGTTTGCCTCTTTTGTTCTACCCACCCAAGGAGATGGATGACATCAGGCAAATAAAAAAAACTTCCATGATTCAAACATATCATCCATTTTCAGATACACGAGCTAGCAAAGAATGTGTTTAAAAGAGCACGTCCACAGCTCCAACAAATCATCTGGGCAGCACAAAATTCTTGAAACAGAAAATATATGACTCCGTAAACTACCTGTCCATCTGCCACTGGATCAAATGACAGCATCTCTCATTCATTCCTTTTAACACAACTATCATTCTTCTCATACGGCATTTATCATTCTTTTCATCTCACTACACCTCATAGGATCTGGCTCATCGATCGCCCTCTCTGTGGGCACGTGTTTGATTCGGCATATAGACTTTCTTACCTTGGAGATACATTCTGGATTTGGAAATCTCAAGTTTTGAGCATTAAGCATTTGACGTTGAGCCTTGAGAAGTACATACCATAGTTTGTGAAGATCATCCAAGGACTTGAGACGAAGCTCAGATGCCTTCCAGCTCCGACCATACACAACAGGTTTATCATCCTCCACACTTCTATGAGCTTCAAAGAACTGCTCGAGAGGGTTATGAATTGCTCTTCTAGCTGAAGTACCAGCATCCCAAGTAGTCTCGCATTTGGCAGCAGCTAAGAATGTCCTCATAAAGAGTCAAGCCGCAGCCCGCAAGCATAGTTGCAAATAGGTTATATCACCAAAGAAGTGAAAATGAAGGCTTTCTGAATATTGCAATCCGCTAGGGTAAGACCGTCTTCTAGCTGCTTCCCGGAAAAAAAAATCAGAAGGGTAAGGCCAAAATAGAAGGGCGGTGATGGGGCCAAAATCCGCTCCAGGGAATCGAACCCAACCCCTTCCATTTTAAAGTTTTACATACCACCAAAAAAAAAAAAAAAAAAAAAAAACTGAAAAGACCAATGTTTAAAATAAACAAATACGGAGTACTATTCTAAAAGGGCATTAAACAAAGATATGCCCTTACAACTAAGGAAATTGAAAAAGTCAAAACTAATTATAGTACTAAGCAAAGCGTACTCCTATGGGGCTGGGGCAATCCAACATCTCCACACTGGCGTTTTTCCTGCAAGTAAAAGGTGTATACGAAATATTATATGTTTTGAAACAAAGAAAAAAGGTTGAGGTAAAGAATGAATAGGATTTGCAACGACATATATTAGCAGATCTGAAACAGCAGTGAAAGAAGCAAACGGCTCTAAGCCACAATAAAGAATAAAAGTTTCAATAAAAAAACATTCAAGGGGAGAACCAACTACAATAGCTATAGTACATTTGCCAACGAGTGGGTAGTGCCCTGATTCTTCTAGTACACTAGCACTTCCAGAATCACAACAAGTAGGTAGTTACGTACTTCCCTTTTACTAGTACACAGGCAGCTGAAGCTTTCCTCTTCTCATTCCTTGCTTTCTTCCCACCCCCTTCCCTACAGCCCCTAATACAAATAAGGAAACATCTTCTTTAACTGTGGCGAAGCTTTGAACTTCAGTCCGTGTGCACCTTAGTTTTAAAAGGCGCGAGGCGGCATGAGGCGTTTCCAAGATTTACCCGAGGCGCGAGGCGCAAGGCGATGAGGCGTGCGCCTCACGGATCTAGTCTTCTACATAAAGCACTCATCTCAAAAAGTGATAGCATCACAAAAAATACTTCAAACTATTTAACACTCTTAATAAACATCATAAGAGAAACCAAATATTTATTAAGACAGTTGCATGAAATAAAAAATTAAATGGCATCATTTCCAAAAGTCATGTCACAAAACTCGATCTTAAAACTTCAAAACATAATTAATAAACTGTTATATGAAAAAAAAAAAAAACTGTCTTATATACTACTACCTCCGTCCCATTTTATGTGTCTTAGTTTGATTTGTCACGGTTATTAATGATGTGGTTGAAAAAGTAAAAGTTGTGGTTGACGCTTGAGTATAATAAAGTGAAATGGTGTGAACCATATATTTCTTTCCAAAAAAGGAAAGGAGACACTTATTTTGGGACAGCCCAAAAAGGAAAGTAGGACTGGTAAAATGGGACGGAGGGAGTACTACGTATGTATTTGTTAAACAAAAACAACATTTAGGTACCCTACTCAGCTTGATCTAGAACAGACCCACAGAGGTAGTAACTCTGCAATTTCAAGGTAATAAAATACGAGTATAAATAATACATAAGGAGTACTTCAATCAATAAACTATCACACGCATTAGAAGAGAAGTAAATACTTACCTGCGACTACTCTGCAAGTCCTGCGACACAAGACAGCAGCGGAAAACAGGACTTGCGAGCCCTGCTACGCGAGCAAGAAACAGCTACCGCAGATGTCGGAACTCAGAAGCAAAACAAACGCAGGAAGAAGGGAGAAGACTATAAAGACTGAATCGCCAAAAGACACATCCCTAAGGCGTGAGAAGCGTACGCCTCTCAGATGTGCAAAAGGCGTCAAAAAGCGCCGTATAATGTGCGACTCTTGGAACCTATGCCGCCTGGGGGTGTAAGATGCGATAAAGTGCTCGCCTTAGAGAGCCTAGCGCATTTTTGCGCCTCAGGCGCGCTTTTTTAAACCAAGGTGTGCACCATTCCCACTCATTTGTAATATATAGTATACCCCCATAGAACCACCTAGTCATACCCACATTTTGCATCTTACTATAGATATCCCTAAGGTAATAGACAGAAGGGCAAAATTCTAAATTCTACCTTCAAATTCTAAATTATAAATTCTAATTTATCCCTAAGGTAACAGTGAATTGGGAAACTTATAAATCAAGGACTTCTTTTTGACGAAACTTAAAACTAAAATCAAAACCAGAACAAGAGATGTTATATTAAGTGACTTCAACATCACTTCGGAAGAGAAATGTTGTACTGCAATTGAGCAGTAATTTACTGCGCCCCAGTTCTAATTAATATTAAGTTCAAACTATCTAAGTTGATTATATGAAGCATAATTAGTTAAACTTTTACTGCAATCAAGTACATATGTTGTAAGCAAAAAATTCATTAATACTTGAGAACTAATACCTAAAGAAGCAGACCTTATCAAGCATATATACTCTCATTGATAAGAATTAATATTGAGCCACATAAAATGAAAAGTAAATATACGGGACCTAAAGTTATTTTATTAAAAAATGCATAAAAACGCATTGATTTTTCACATGGCTTCAAAATTTAGAACCCCTTTATATGCTTTTAACAACGACGAGAAGACTCATATATGGGACCGAAAGTTATTTCAAAGTTGGGATATTGAATTACTTCTTAAAGCCAGATAGTATCTTGTTCTTTGAAGCCAGTAGGGGCTTTTAGAGAGTGTCTTTCTCCCATCTTCCTCGTCGGCTCACAACTCCTGCTAGGGCATAGAGGACCTGGGGGCTGGGGGAAATGCCCCTGCTTCCAATCCCAAATTTAGTATTAGTACTTATCTGGCAAAAAGATAAGTGGAGACCATTAGATAAAGTAGTAATTCGGTCAAAGAGCAGATAACAATTATTGTGAGATATGTGGATGACCACGGAGTTAAGTATGAATTTCATGATAATAGTAAATGTTCCCAAATCAAGTAAACATAGGGTATCATGTTGGTTTTATATTCTTTATGTCATTTTTATTTACAAGATCACCACTTGACGAAGTACAAGTATACATCGTCAAGAGTAATAACACTCATTAACATCAACAACTCTGGGTAGTACTGAGTCCTCCGACTGCAGTAGTAGGAATAACTAAGTAGTTATAGTGACTATGGTAGTAATTAATATTCCAAAGCTTTTATTAGTAAGTGGAGTTTGATCATTAGTTGATAGGGACATAGACAACCAATAATAATAAGAATAACAGAGTATTATTAATAGAGTGTTATTGTATAAATTAATGTTTTGGGCCATGTAATTCATGAAATATGGGCCAGCCCTTAGGAAGAGAAATGATATAAAAGGGGGAAGGAGGGAGGAAGAAGGTAGGCAGATTTTCAGTTGTAATTAGTGATCACTCACCTTTTAGGATGAACTCAGGGGGGCACAATTCTTCTCAAAGATTGATTTACGTTTTGGCTACTTCCAAATTCTGATGACTCCATGTTAGGGACAGACCTATTAGGGTATTAAATAAAAGAGTTGGTGTAGTTATATTTCTGTTTGAGATAATAACTACATTCTGTTGGTGGGATACTATAAATAGATGTAAAGTCAGAATAGAGGGAGGCTATTTTGACTGTTTAGTATTTTCTGGGAAGATTGAGAATTATCTCTCTCTTGGGGCTTCGGCCATTGTTACTGAGCTTCTTCATCAATAAAGTTTACAGTTCTTGTTCTTGAAATTTTCTTTGATAATATTTTGTAAATTTTCTCAATACCTAGACAGTTCTATCAGTGGTATCAGAGCATCGTCGATCTTTGTGGATGGTCTGGACAAGAACGAAGATGGATATACGAATGAACGAACTGGAAGAGAAAGTAGACAGAAATCAACAACAGACCACGGAGATGTTAGCAGAGATGCAGGCGACTCTTCTCGCCAGATTGGACGCTCGAGCGCAAGATCGATCGCGAAGTAGATCGAAAGCTTCAACCGCTTCGCATCGCACTTTGCACAACCATCAATCACGCCATTCACGAAAATCAACTCACTCTGGAGATTCGGGAGAAAACTCAGACTATGAACCTACGCATCACCATCAGCACCACCATCGGGAGCGTCAGTCACAACATGAACTAAAATCAGTGAGTTCAAATGACTCGGAAGGGAACAACCACTACTCACCACCACATCACCATCATCACCGACACAGAGAATATAGTCACCACCACCACCATCGAACAGGGAGGAAAATTGATTTACCGTTATTCAACGGTGAAGATGCTTATGGGTGGTTAATCAGAATTGATCGTTATTTTCGTCTTAATCATATCGAAGAGGATGATAAGGTAAACGTAGCGGTGGTAGCTATGGAGGACAAAGCCCTTAGCTGGTTCCAAGGATGGGAGAACCAAACGCGTGAGAGGAATTGGGGAACTTTGAAGGCAGCTTTAACTAGGCGATTTCAACCAGAATTGGTTCAGAACCCTCTGGGACCTTTATTAGGTCTTAAGCAGGAAGGTAACTAAGGGAATTTTCTTGAATGGATTGAAGAAGGACATTAGAGCTGAGTTGAAGCTTTATTGTGCGAGGAATCTGGCTGAGATTATGGACACAGCACTATTGACTGAGCATAAGAATCATGAAGTATTGTCTAGAAGAAACAAGGAGGAAGGGAAGAAGGTATGGAAGACAAATCGAACAGGACAAAGTTACCATAAATGGGGAAATGGCTATAGAGGGAGTTCTAGTACAACCAAGAACCCATTTGGCGACTATTCAGTTGATGATAAGGAGGAATCTTCAAATTCGGTTCAGAAGAAAACAAGCCCCAGATTATCACAGAATGCGCTGCAAGAAAGAAGTAGAAGAGGATTATGTTTTAAATGTGGTGAAAACTGGAACCGGGGTCACAATTGCAGGATGAAGAACTTCAAAATGGTGATGATGGAACTATCTGAAGGAGAGGAAGGATCTGAAACTGCAACTAGTGACTCAGAAGTAGGAGAAGGGGTTCATATGGGATCCAAGACTACGTAGTTGTCAGTCTTAAGTAAAGAAGGAAGCTCCTCTACGAATACTTTCAAGGTAAAAGGGGAATTGAAATGGTCAGAAAATGAGCAAAGATGAATATCTTGATTGATAGTGGTGCTACCCACAACTTTATATCCCAACAATTTGTAGAAAGATGGAAGATACCTTTCCAAAGTATCAAGGGATATAAGGTACAAATAGGGAATGGAGACTTGATCTCTAACTATGGTAGATGTGAAGGGATGAAACTGAATGTGCAGGGCAATGAAATTCAACAGAAATTTTATATGTTGGAGCTAGGTGGGACTGACATGGTGTTGGGAATGGAATGGTTGATTGATCTAGGTGATATGGAAGTTAATTTCCAAAACCAGATCATAAAATGGAAGAAACAAGGGTTGAATCATATTATTCAAGGAGATGGATATTTGTGGCACAAGGAGGGACAAAGTAATAAGCAGAAGCAAGAGCAGATAATTGAAGGCAGAAGGAATCTATATATATTAAAACGCTTAAGTCACGTTCCCGCCTACTGACTAGGGATATTTACGTAATTACAGCTAAACTTTCTATTCTTCCGATTTACCCTAGCGTATTCTTTCAAGTTCGGGGAAATTAGGGCTCTAGAACAGACCTTCCGCTACACTTCTCGCTGAAGTTGGCCTCTCAATTGGAGCTCTGTTATCATCAAACGAATTCAGATTTTAGGGCTCGAGCACAAACCTTGCGCTAGACTTCTTGCTGAACTGGACTCTCAATTGGAGCTCTGTTATCATCAAACGAATTCAGATATATTCGACTTGATCCAACTCCAAAGAGTCCATCAACTCCAAATTTCTCGATATTGGTGAGTATTCGTAGACAAAATATTGGTCATCCGGAAGCAGTCTCTCTGTGCTTCAGTACAGAGGTAAGACTGCGTACATCCAACCCCCCTTACCCCACCGTGGGTGGGAGCCTTTGCGGCACTGGGGTAAATGAAAATGAGTGATTTCATGCTTTTCATTTTAAAAGTTCAATGAACGGTCTTCATGCCCTTTCTTAATTAAATTACTTTCACACTCCGTACTATCTGATTAAAGATATCTTAGCAAAGATGATGTTGTTTTAATGGAGTTATTTTGTGAAAATTGTAGTTGCAGGCTTGCAGCTACGAGGACTCTAAATAGTACTCCGTATTAGTATTGTTATGTGTTTTTCTTATACTATGTGAAAAATATTTCCACACAGTATACCCTGCAGCTATAGTTGAACCCCTTAGATTTTATAAAAGAGTTGTCATGTTGATTGTTTAACCACTGAGGTATTCAATAATTTGTGGGAATCTAATTAATACATGGTTTTGTCTGATCAAATCCACCTTATTTCATTACTTCCACATTAGTTCTGTCACTTTCTTTCATCAATATAATTGATTTATTATATCTGTGATTTATTATAATTGGTTTATAAAATGTAATTATCTCCATGTATGTTTTCTGGAGTTTTAGTCTCCTTTGTTGATACAATTTTATCAGGTTTTGTGTTCTTTGAACATGCACTTTTTATATTGGATCCCACCAAAAGTTGCAAGTATCTGGTGGATTTTTTAAGGACCAAAATACCTACTCTGGGACAGCCTTCCTAAAGCTGTAACGCACTCCCAGTTTTAGATGCTTTTAATATAAACTACATGAGATCTAATAGAATCCCAACAATGAAGATTAGGCAGTCCTCTAAGCTGACTGATATTCTAAAATAAGAATGTCATAACTATGACATTCTACTAACAACTCTTATTATTTTCTTATTTTTCTGTTCTAAGGAGAGAATTCTTTGCTTCAGAATACATTGCTAACACATTCAAAACCATCATTCTAAGTCTTTTTTTGAAAGTGAAAGTCTTATTCCTAATCAGTAAGCATAGCTTTAACTATACCTCATATTCTTATATTTATGGTGTAAAGTATATGTGTCAATTCCTATATTTATGGTGTAAAGTAAATGTGTCAATCAAAGAAATTGGTCATATGGAGGGTTTGTTTGCCTTTTAATCCTACCGATAAACTGTCATTTTTTTCTTTTCTATACATTACTTGATTATCGTAATGGAAAAAACTGAAAAGAATCTTCTTTTTTAGTTATTCCTTTAATTATGATAAGTAATGAGAACTAATAGTTTAATTTGAGGGGTGAAAATACATGGTTATACAGTTTAATTTAGTTTACATATATGTTTATTATAAAGTAAAGTTTTTTCCCTTTATAAAATCCAGTTTAAAACAAATAGAAAGTTGATAGTAGTGAAACACGAAAAGAAGCTCCTCAATGAAGCAAAATTTAACAAACACCAGCAGCCACTTAAAGCTATAGACAACTCAAAGAAGAGAAAATTTCAGCAATGTCAAATAGTAGGAGAAGACTAAAATACTTCACCCTTTTAGCTCAAGCTCTCATGGTTAGCATTCTAGGTCAGGAGTCCATCAAAAGCTACTATTTGAAACGGTATGGTATGGTAATCGTTTGAGATATGTTTGCATTAATTCAAGTATTCATATATCAAGAAAATTAGTAGTGTAGTACAAACCAAATGCCTATGCAATGTCATGAATATATCGATTTTAAGAATGTGAAAAAATCCCTTGAAATAAAAACAAAGTGGGTGGGATATCTTACATCTATATATTATTAAGTGAACCAAGTCTTTTCCCCGCTAATGTTTAAGGACATTTATGTAATCTCCGCAAACGCAGTTGGGTTTTCTTCTTTCCAGTGCATTACAATTGTTTCTAACATTTTCTTCAGTTCTTCACCTTTCTTTTCCTCTCCTTCATTCCTACTAAATCTGGACTCTGAACTATGGCGTAGTATTTTTGATAACTTTCTCTTCTTTGAGTTGTCAATAGCTTTAAGTGGCTGCTGGTGTTTGTTAAAATTTTATCTTCTTTACTTGAAAATTACACAACCTGCTTATCTATAATTTCGACTTTATTTCTCTCTGGCAGCCGGATGCTTGCCAATCCAGGAGAGATCAGCAGGCATGGAGAAGGAGTAGCAAAGGTCAAACACTTCGGCCTTCTGATTTACTCGGAAGCGAGAAAGATTACAGAAGTGAACAGGACCAGTAGGGGATAGTTTGATCAAGGACCGGGGAGACTGGAGGCAAGACTTATCTTCAAAGCAAGAAACGAACTTGGAGAATAATAAAACCCTTGTATATTATGAATTCAATAACTTTCCCTTTCTGCTTCCTCTTTCTTTCCTGTTCCTTCTCTCTACTCTTTCACTGATACCCGTTTCCCTTTCCCCCTTTCTTCTCCTCCGCTGCTCCTAATAGAAATAAGGAAACAGCTTCCTTAATTGTGGTGAAGCTTTGAACTTCAGTCTGTGTGCCCCATTCCCACTCATTTGTAATATACAGTATACCCCCATAGAACCACATTTATCAACGCTTGAGCAGCTGAGCTACGTCAAAATGCAACCCTAGCAATCGTTTTCCACTCACCAGTTCAAAATAATACCTATGAGACACCATACAGGCAAAGGGAAGTGAAACTGATGGACCAATAAACAGCCAAAGAGAAATTAACATACTTCAGAATTGTACTAGTAACCAGCTTTAAAAAGGGTATTTGTAATTTGTAATTTAAATGATTGACAGAGTAATTTGTAATTTAAAAAGGCTGCCGGACAGATGATAGAACTTGGATATAATCTAATTCAAACCTGATCAAAAAAGAACTTGGATATCCTTCCAATCCTTATCTTCAAAGCAAATGGCCATAAAAGTAGAAGTCTTGAGGCAAAAAAGAACTCTCTCCCTTCCTTTCCCGTTTCCCCTTTCTTCTTCTCTTTCCCGGATTCCCCTCGATTCCACTCTCCTCTGAGGCTATTATTATTATATTATATATCTCAACACAAAAACATGAGTTTACAGAAGACTAAATTTCTAGTTTCAAATGTAACTGAGGCCTGGATCTTCACAATAGTAGATGAAGTGAAAATAACATACTTTAGAATTGCTGAAGTTGGCCCTTGGAACCAGCTGGCATTAAGAAAAGCTTCAGCTGCCAGTGTTCTTATTTCCTTTGACAGAGTAATTTCTAGTTTAAAAAGGGTGCCTGACAGATGATGAAACATAAGTCATTCAATGTAACTGGAGGCACGAACTATCTTCAAAGCAGGAAACGAACTTGGAGAATGATAAAACCCTTGTACAAGTTATTATGAAATTCAATGAAACCCGATTCTTTTATTAAATACTTAAACCTAGTCATCTTAGCCTTTTACCCGATTCTTTTACCCTTTCCAGATGCTTTTGAAATGGTTCATGGTCTTGAACAAGATGAGGTCAATTCTCTTAAAGAGATGTCGGAAAACAAGCAAAGGACACAACAGGAGATGCAGATGCCAAGAGATTCTAACTTTTGCAGCACCAGGGAGCATTTTTCCACCAAGATATTGTTTCTGCTCCTTACAGTGAAGAACTGTAAGCTGCAGCAGTTGGCAACTGTGGCTGGTGACATACTAATTGGGAGGGAGAAAATACAGAAGGTTTTGCTTGCCGGGCTGATTGAGATTGGGGTCATGTGGCGGCATGATGAGCAAGAATTTTGGGGTGTTCTAGAGGATAGTTCTGCTCCTCTTACACAACATGGATTGCAGCATATAATGCTGGAAATGCACTACACCGTAGAGATAGCACGGGTTGCTGGATACCCTTCCAGGATAGTGCATCAAATAGCATCGGATATAATGTCTCGGGTGACCAGGACATATTCGGTTAGGGGCATTGTACCAAGTGCTTTACCAAATGATGACTGGTTTATAGAAACAGCAAAAGGAGCAATAAACAAGCTTCTTTTGGGTGGGAAATCCGGGAGGTACTGGGAAGGAAGAGGTTCCAAGATGAAGAGGAAGTTCAAAATCAAGGCTGTGTCCTATCACCCACCTTGAGGACAAGGTGGTTGTTTAGGGGGGAGTAATGTTAGGCATCAGCCTAATCAGTAGTCTTAAATAAGGGGGTTAGGGGAGTTAAATAGCTTATTAAGTGTCTATAGCTTATTTAGTTGTCTATTTAGTCCCTGCGTGGACTTTTGGCTATAAATAGAAGCTGGGATAGCCTTAATAGGTAGACAGTTATTTTGAGAACTGTTGCCTTGTCCCCTAAGAGTCCCGGTTGCCTAAGAAGTCCCTGTACTGCCTACGGATTACCTATTTCATCAATAAACATCTATTTCCATCTCTGTTCATCAGATCTGTGTGTTCGTTTACTGTTTTAGCTTTGATTTGTGTCTGTGCCCTAACACTGAGTCCTCCGACTGCCGTAGTAGGAATAACTAAGTAGTTATAGTGACTATGGTAATAATTAACATTCCAAAGCTTTTATTAGTCAGTGGAGTTTGATCATTATTTGATAGGGACATAGACAACCAATAATAATAAGAATAACATAGTATTATTAATAGTGTTATTGTATAAGTTAATGTTTTGGGCCATGTAATTCAAGAAATATGGACCAGTGGCCAGACCTTAAGAAGAGAAATGATATAAAAGGGGGAAGGAGGAAGAAGGTAGCCAGAATTTCAGTTGGAATTAGGCTGGGAGAGTGAGGCTCTCTTGAAGAGCCTCAACCCTGTAATTTTCAGTTTACGTTGATCTCTCGTTTCTACCATTGTAATCACTACTGTCTTCTTAGTTTTTTAATCAATATAATACTAAAACTCTGCTGCGTTGTTGAGGTCCCTAACATTGGTATCAAAATCGTTGTCCCTGGGAAGCTTCGATCTAAGTCACACGATAAAAAAAATGGAGCAGCGTAGGGAACGTCGAAGGTCAGTTGCCCCTGGTTTGCACGCGAACACTGAGAAGCGTGTGTCGCAGGGAACATGGAAGATCTGATCAGGATGCTTCGCGCGGAAAAGGGGAGAAGCTAGCGAAAAAGGTTGAGCGCGGAAAAGTGGAGAAGCTGGCGGAAAAGTGATTGGGGGAAGGATATGCGAATCTGGTTGAAAAAGATGCGCGAACTTTCGCGTCGCCGGAGACCTACAGGCCAAGTGAGGAGCCCTCCTAGACTCCGTCGGCCAACTGAAAATCAGATGTCATCCCAAGTCACTTCAACTTCATCCCTAACAGAACTCCTTAGTTCACAGGTGACCTCGAATGCGCTGATTTCGTCACCAGCAGAAGATCCTTGTTCGCAGAATCCTTCTCAAACTGCTTCTCACCTTGCGCAAGTCTCTTCGAAATCGCAGAATTCTTCTCTGAGTTTGCAGGATGGTCTCAACATATGGACACAACACCCCAACTCTCTGTCTACCCACTCCCTCTACAGGAACCAGTACTAAAATTTGGGAACTAATTACCCAAAGACAGCAAAAAAGACAGGAGCTCAAAGAAAATTTTAAGCTGGCACAAGAAAGAATGAAACTTTACGCAGACACACACGGGTAGATAGAGAATTTGCAATAGGGGATCAAGTATATCTGAAGTTACAACCTTACCGACAAAATTCAATTCAACGCAGAAATCAGAAACTATCAGCTCACTACTATGGTCCGTACACTGTTTTGGTAAGGGTGGGGAAAGTGGCTTACCATGTCTCCTTACTGAAGCGTTGCATCAGTTCCCACGCAGTAGTGGCATCACAACTCCCAGAGGTTAACCAAGATGATAACTCTGCTCCTCTGCCAACCCCAGCAAGAGCTAGTAAGAATGCTGAAAGGGCCAGTGTGTCGCCCGCTTTGTTTCCGTCACATGAAAAAAAGGAAGAATCCACTGCCAGTTGCTCGACTTCAGCCAACTACGGGAATTCCATACCACCTACCAATCCTTGAGGACAAGGATTTTCTCAAGAGGGGAGAATTGGCATATATGGTCGTGATTTACTTGTTATTTTTAGTTGGGCCTCTAAA